GCGATAGACTAGCATCCCATCCAGGGGGGAGTAGAAATACTCCTAGTCGCTTCATGCTACAGAAACTGGGATAAGCTCCAGCCTGATGGGCCACTAGGCTCGTGTGCAGACTTTACCTTTTACATGATGTCCGCTCACAACACAAAAAAATACCCATTGTAACGTTATAGAAACTCAGAGCCTGTAAATATAGAGAAAAGGTGCTCCTGGTAGGAGGAATGACCTCCCCCCTACACAAGGGCCCACCCAGTTTAACATGTGCTCTGTAGGTTATGGCAAGTTACAAATAGCCAAATATAACATATCGCAAGGCCGAGCCATGAAACTCAGTATATGCGAGTGTGCATCGTGATCTAATAATGCATGAGGCAATGCCATAAAACATTGATTCCCACTTTTAGCGGTACACTATCGAGTTTAGATACATGCAGGAAGTTTCGAGAACACAGTTGCTCTCGACTTCACCTCATGTGACTCTTATGCTTCTTTCGATCTCTCCAAACTTCCTTCATGCATCATAACTCAATGTGGTATGCTGAGGTGTGAATCAATTGTAAATGAAAGTGTTTACATGGTAAAAAGTTGGCTTGCCCAAAAGGAGTCCACCTAACATCAAACAATCGACACTCCACTTGTATCAGCACCATCCTCCTAATGCCTGAGCTAACAATGTGATTTCTCATGCAAAGGGTTTACTTCTATTTAAAAAGAAATGAATGAAGTTCTTATGTTTGGGACAGCTTGTTGTGGAGGATGGCCCTCCTACAATTCAACTCTCTCCATGTAAACAGGTCCTTAGAGAGATTGCTGTCAACAAATGAGTTACTAACCCTTCACAGCTGCTCGACTCTTCCAGTCTCTTCTTTCCCAAGGTGGTTTAGCAACAATGCGACCAGTACGTTCTGATACTCTAATCTTTTCTCCCTTTTCATTGAATCGGTAAGACACCTCTGTGGGTTTCCTACAAAAAGTCAACATTCTTCCTTTACACATATGAATTAAATTGACCTTGTGAACTGCTTTAATCAACTACACGTACAAATGCATGTGACAAGAGTATGATCAAGGAACTACCAGGACTGTCATTGAGTTTTGATTCACCTGTAGCATCGATCTTCACATCCGTAGCAAACTTGTTACTTTTTGGGTAAATTGTGTCAATAGGAAAATACACCTGCAACATCAATGTCCCATCAAATAGACTCAGCCGTAGCAGGTGTTACAGGTTACAGCCCTCATTAACAGCCCTGACTACTGTCTGAAATTAGCTGGTACAGAAAGAACTTACTGCCAATCATGCTAAAGTTTGCTAATTCTCAAAACAAGCAATGAGTGCAATCCTGTTGTGCATCACACATAATATTCACAATATTAACTGCACCTGCCTGGCACCCTGTGCATAAGATGTCAAAATTATTCCCTGGTATATCAGTCGAGATTTAGGTTCACAATATGTGCAGTACTGTACTCCTGGTGTGGGGAACATTTTCACCCGGTGCACCAAATGAAATCACCAGTTCACATTCTTGCTTTAATGATCCTTTTCCTCATTCAAAAATGATTTTAGAGAAAACACAGACTATCACCACAACTTTCCTCCAGGAGGTCCTTTGTTTACATATCACATGACCACCATAAGGCAATACTACTTTGTATATTCCACAATTTGGGACACAGTTTAACCTCCAATAAGAGACCAACAGAAATGCCAAGCCTATGTGGTAGCTTACAGGTAGCCTGCATAGCAAGCGCTTCTGCACAAGCCAAACGAAATTGGGCCGTGCAAAAGAGCTTTTTTGCATTCAGGCCACATGAAAAGTGGGGCAAGAATAAAAAGGTCAAAGAAGCCAGGTTGGGGTGGGGAAACATTGTGAACTCTACATTTGACCTGATCTCAGTACAGGTGCCCACTAGGTGACGAATTTGTTTTTATGTGAGAACATTTTATTTGTCATATCCAATATTTGCAAGTGAATGTTGGTTTGTTGTGATATTGCAAGTATAATAATATCTATTTGGAAATTGTACCAGATGTGCACAGAGATGCCTCAAATTAAGAACTTCTGTCGTCTTTTGTGTTGTAAGCTGACTTCCTATTAGTTAGCCTGTGTAGCAAGTGCTCCCGTATGAGCTGAACAAAATCAGGCCATGCAAAAGAGCTTTTACGCATTCGGGCCGCATGAAAAATGGAGTGAGAGCAACTTTGGCCGTGCAAAAAGTAGGGCGAGAGCAAAAAAGGTCTGCCCTTATCTGTTTGCAATTACCTACAAGAGGTGGTTGATTAAGAGGGGATCTGGCTATAGGTGGAACATAATAATTACTTCTTTGTAATGTTTCTTGTACAAAACCTACAAAAGAAATAGCAGCTCACCCATCTGATGGATCCAAAAGAGAAACTTCTGTGACCTGCATGGGGGCCTCACTGTTAACAAGCCCTCCTTTAAAATCACCTTGTGGTGGCAAATAACGTTTATGCTAAGCAAAAAAAAAAAAAAA